CAGACTTATCCGGTCTTGACTGGGGCTCTTTGTTTACGGGAAGTGCCAACGATGACTGGGAGCTGTTCAAGAATGTCCTTCTGCAGCTCATCAACAACCACTGCCCACTGACTAGTGTAAGACTGAACAAACGCCCTGGGTGGCTAAATAGCAACCTCAAGAAAGAAATCAACGGGAAGCACAAATTGTGGAGAAAATACTGCGTCACTAGACAAGCTGAGTGCTTCAACAACTACAAGACACAGAGGAACAAACTGAGGAAGCTGATAATTCAGACGCGGCGGGAATTCGAGAAGAACTTGCTACAAAAAGCAACGCAGAACCCAAAATTGCTCTACAGCTACCTCCGACGAACTACAAGGAACAGGCATCAAATCCCCTTGATAAAGACTACTGATGGCGTTGAGATCGCTGATAGTAGGGATAAAGCTGCGTATTTTTCACGGTTTTTCCAATCAGTCTACACAAACGAGGCAAGGTTCCTTCCTCCCTCCACAGAAGAACTGCCGACTCCAAGCGTCAGTGATATACTCTTCTCAGAAGGCATTGTCCGAAGGCAAGGTTCCTTCCTCCCTCCACAGAAGAACTGCCGACTCCAAGCGTCAGTGATATACTCTTCTCAGAAGGCATTGTCCGAAGAGAATTAGAGGCATTGAACGAATCGAAGTCGCCAGGACCAGACGAGATTCCATCCAAGCTTCTGAAGGAACTTGCCAATGAGCTCTCTGTGCCTTTGTCGATGCTCTTTCAAACGTCATTTGACACTGGAACACTTCCTGTCGATTCGAAGCTGGCGCATATTACTCCGCTACACAAAGGAGGTAACAGGGCAGCGACGACAAATTACCGGCCCATAAGCTTGACATGCATTCTCTGCAAAGTATTGGAAAGGATCATAAAGTGTGAACTGATGCAATTCCTGGAAGTTCACGGCCTGCTATCGAAATGCCAACATGGGTTCCGAAAAGGAAGATCCTGCACGACAAACTTGCTGCAATCTCTCCAGAGCTGGACCCAAGCTCTCGACGACAGGCACGCGGTCCACATAGCCTTCATCGACTTCCAGAAGGCTTTCGACACTGTGCCACACCAAAGGCTCTTACATAAGCTGAAAAAAATAGGCATCGGTGGCAACTTCCATAAATGGATCGAAAACTTCCTTGTGGGTCGACACCAGGTTGTGTGCGTCGGTCGGGGAAAATCAGATCCGGCTATGGTCGAAAGTGGTGTCCCCCAGGGTTCAGTACTGGGACCCATTTTGTTCCTTATCTACGTGGACGATGCCGCAAGAGATTTAGACTGTGAAGTAGCAATGTTTGCGGATGACATGAAGATATGGAGTTTAATTCGGGGTCCTGCCGATGAAGACAGACTGCAGATGAACCTGAATCGGTTGGAGGAGTGGTCAAACCGCTGGCTCCTGCGGTTCAACGTTGCCAAATGTAGCATACTTCGCCTAGGCAACACAGCCAGATCCGCCAGCACAAGAGGCTACTTTCTGGGCGGTGTAGCCCTACAAGAGGTCGAAGCCCAAAAGGACCTCGGTGTGCTTACGACGAGTTCCCTAAAACCATCCGCCCACTGTTCGAGGGTGGCAAAAACCGCAATGTCCGTACTGTACGCCATCAAGCGTGCGTTTATGGACTTTGACAAAGAAGCCTTCTCCATCCGCCCACTGTTCGAGGGTGGCAAAAACCGCAATGTCCGTACTGTACGCCATCAAGCGTGCGTTTATGGACTTTGACGAAGAAGCCTTCTCTAAGACATTCGGAACATTCGTCCGGCCGCATTTAGAGTACGGCATACAAGCTTGGAGGCCGTGGGGTGATGTGGATTAAAACTGCCTCGAAAGAGTCCAGAGGAGAGCCACGAAGATGGTCAGGGGTCAAAGCTCCTTTCCTTATGCGACCCGCCTAGTAAATCTGAACCTCTTTCCTTTGAGTTACAGGCAACTTCGCGGAGATCTCTTGCAAGCCTTCCGCATTGTAAAGGGGTTGGATTGCAGTCTGGCCTTCGAGGACTTTTTTGAATTTGCTACCACGACCAACCTCCGAGGTCACCCGTTAAAGCTGCGCACTCAGCAGGCACGGCTGGATGTGCGGAAGTTCTCCTTCTCGGTTCGGGTGGTCAAACCGTGGAATGAGCTTCCCGCAGATGTTGTGATGTCACCATCTATACAAAGTTTTAAGAAGAATCTGGACATATTTATGTTCCGAAATGACCAAGAGCGATGAGAAGTCGAGCTCACCCCCTGTAACTCCTTCTCATTTTGTCCCACCATTATGGGCGTGTTCGAACTATTTCAGCCCAGAACATCTATCTGTACACCACACATTTTTTACGTTGCAAATAGGGTACTCAAAGGCTTACGCCTATTTCCCTCAATAAACTGAACTGAACTGAACTGAACTGAAGTCGACCACTACTCCTATAATTTCACATTAACAAGAACAATATGATACATGATTCAATAGTATTTTGACCGTTTTGATTGTGACTTACCATTGAATGCTTCTTACTCCTGATATATATTCATCTTTTCCAGCTCTTAGTCCAGACAACGATGGTAAGCCTCCTGAAAAATACGTAGGAACTGTGCGACCGCCCCCTTACAGCTGGCCAGATAGACTGACAACCAGCAACTAGAGCAAACCGAAATTTACCCAACAGGAAAATAATTTCAAGGTCAGGCCGATATCAAAGTTCTTCAAATGCCATGAAGGAGATATTTTTCATGCCCCCGAAAACTACCAAACTGCAAACTTCAATTTTTATATTGTACATATCGTTATTTTTTGAAAATTTTGTTATTATTTTCCCTTAGAACTGAGGTTTTTTTTAACTTAAAACAAACTCTCAATTCGCGCTCTTTTGGCTAACCAGACACCCGAAGCAAATGAAGTCAAAGTGCAGTTGAAATTGACGAGTTTGTTTTAGGTTTTTTTCCTGAGTTCAAAGGGGACTGACAGTGCCCAAGGGGCGCTACAATAAACCTATTCTATTCTATCCGCGGCTCCGAACGTGGGAAGAGCCACGGTTGTAAGGTGCGCCAGGTCCACCACAAGTTGATTCGGAATTTCATCGTGTCTCAGACGTTGTTCGTGCAATTGTTCGACGGGACCTCCGACTGATAAGGTTTGTCCAGATATAATTGCCAGACAATGGCATAGTGTGTTGAGGGTAATTCGTCGTCTAGCCGCACATCAAGTGCCTTAGTGAGTTGTTTATGCGTGAGGGTCTTGAGTATTGTGCGTGACTTATCCACCACTGAGACTTCCTGGAGGTAAAATTTTGCTCTTCGGAGCCATACTGAGAAAGCTTCTGTGCCGTCGTACTATGGTACTTCGACGGAGCGCAGTGTGGTTGCATTATTCCCGGATATCTGTGGGGCTGTGGGCACCGTCGTTGAGCTGCCATTTCTGTAGTGAGCGGAGCGTTCTGTCGCTCTGTCGGAAGGGTCAGCTGTGGGTCAAAGTCTGTCGTCTTAATGGAGCCAGGCGGTGAAAGGGTTCGTTTCTTCATTTCTGAACGGTTAGTTTTTGATCTCGGCATCAGACGAGCAAACAGTATCCCAAACGGGCGGACATATCTTAGGTAATTAAAGGAGGCCTTAATTGTAGGCGGTATATTAGGAATTAGGTGGAAATGGAGGGAAACAAGATTCGTCAATGAGCGCACACGTATTAGGAGGGTCAGAAGGGAGGAGAAACGCTCGCCGATTAAGGTTGAAGTTCAGGGGTACGATATCCACTGGATTCCTGCTCTGTGTCTGAGCACAATTCACCGTCCTAGGCTTTAAACATCGAAAAAGAAAAAGCAAGCTCGTCTTCAGTCCCTTTTCCCGATTGCCCTTTTTCAGTCCCCTTAAAACACACCTGCCTTTCCGGGTCTCACTCACTGTGTTTCTGTGCAATTTCCGCCGGTGTAGGGTGAGGTCACGTGTTTTGCAGGTTTTTTCAGCCTCAACGCGTTGTATTAGTCTACCCGCCCATACCCTGGTTTAGGGTTCACGTTTACAGTTTTTCCCAACGGCTTCGCCCTACAGCCAAGTTTATTTCATACGGAATAAACATTTCAAGTAAAATTATAAATTAGATCCCTAGTATATTAGGGAGCAAACGTACTTAGAAAAGGAAGGGCGTAGGTTTGTACATCCGTTGGCACCTGAAATGTCAGCTGTGCAGACCTTTGCGCTTGAAGAATTCGTAGGATAAAGGAAGTAATCTGTAGCGTTAATGGACTCGCATATACTATCAGAACACATCCTGCGCTGTCATGCAGAATGTTCTTCACGCCTACTATCTTCCCACTGAGACTAATGCGCCCACTAGCTACTGATGTGTCCACTCTGAATCGTGCTCCGAGCATACAATTAAATTGCCCTCACACCTCAACCCCTCCGGAAACGTGACCAAGTTGTGCTTACACGGAAGCCTTACTTGTCGGCCACTGCGTGCGCAGCCTCCTTTCATGTCCATTTCACTGAGTCGCCTAGCTATTTGCTGCAAAGGCCTAGATGGACTTCGCAATAGCTTTTTCAATCGACTGAGGTAACGCTCGAAGGGGAAGGAAGGGAAGCAGTCCAAGGCTCCATGACGTTCAATGTCATCATCGATATGCATGATGCCGTGCACATTGTAGACTATGTTTTCCTACCCATAAAACACTGCGAACTTACATTTAAAAAGCTTCAATAATTGTCTGCTGTAGTCCCCATTTACCATGCAACTGTACGATTTGGCCAGCAATGATGGCCGGGAATAGAAGAAAGAGTGTCCGTCAGGACAGCTATCCCGGTATATGACAAAAACTGTCTGTACTCTCTACCCTTCCACGAGTTTAAATCCCTGAAACTTACACACCTCTGAGAAAACTCCGCCGGTATAAACGAGTTTAAACTTCATAGATTACGATTAATTAGTTTAACTTGGCGTGTCCTTAGTGTGCGCAATTTCCTTTGGTCATTCACCTTAGACCAGTAACCTTTCACACACAAACGAACCAGCTTCTCACCACGCCTAGATAGACAAGATGAAGTGGGTTGAGAGGAGAATCCGACATTATACTTAGATTAAAACGGATAAAAGGCGACGATCAGACCACAAACTGATTACGCACCCGACCTACAAAGTCCGCCTTTCTGCCTTCGCGCCCTCCGCAAGGTAGACTACTTTTCCTTCGTATGTTCCGACTACTGTGCAGCATTCGCAGCCTTCATAGGCATGAACATTTTTGACTTGTATTCCGAAGGCCGGCTTGGGTGCATCGCAAATAACGCTGGCGATACGGACATAGATACGTCCTGTGGGAATACGACATTGTAGGTCGTGTTCTTGAGGGACGATCATTTTGTCTGTCAGCTCCCTACAGGGCTTACCGTCCCTACAATATATGGTAACTGGAAAGATGAAGCCGACAAACGGCTTTACGATGCGACCTAAAATCGACCACAGTTATGTTTTCGTCTTACAATATGGAGGTAAATTATCTGTGGCAAAATTCACCACTACCTCCTCATCGTCGGCGATGACATACTCTCCTCCTATTAACCGGCGCAGTTGCTTCTGCAGTCCAAAGTGAACGTACTCACCACTACCCATGGGGCCACTTACAGGGCATGCGATGCCCCCAAAAAGCCCCCTGGGATCTGCGTGCATCTCTGGAAGAAGTAGCCTACGTATGTCCAGGTTGCGGAGATGACTGTGCGCTAAATTGGACTTCAGAGCCCATTCACGCTCTCTATTCCGAATGCGTACATGCGTTGGCAAGTCGTCATTATAGCTGACGTTGTGAACGCTGGGAACGGTTTCTGCGCATGCGACAGTGCCCGCAAACGATTTCTACAGGCTCATGCGTCCACTGTTGCTGGAATCTAAGTTCAGTAAACAGTTAGATGATGACTTCGTGTAGGAGTCTTCCGTTCGAGGACTTTTCCTACTCGGAATGAATGAGTCTACCCCGTTGTCTATTTATATAGCCATTTCCTCGATATCTTTCTTCATACGCTGTCTGCATGATCGCTCACTCTCGTGTCTAAACATTTTAAACATAAAAATCACAGGTTACATGAAATTCAAAAGGTATGTAACAATCGAGCAATGTAGATCACACGCCTCACACTGCACGCCTGCGTGAACAAATTCCTCTCGCTGTTCCTTCTTTTCGCAGAATATAATCAGACGCAGGTCACTCATTTGTTCTCTAGATCTTTTGGAGCATGCTGCAAAGGTACTCTAAGGGAGTCAGTTTACTTAAACGATGCACTCGATGTATCGTCACATTTACCGAGCATCTCCTCATTCTACACCACAAAGAGGCAGGAGATTGTGTTTTCGAAATTTATTTTGAATTTATCTTCGCCTTCCGCTAGTTCACGTGGCTTAGAATGCCTAGAGTCCCAACCTAATAGAAGAGAACCCTAGTCAACCCGTACGTACGGAAAGTTGTACTTGGATGTGTGCGAATGGTTGCCAGTTACCCCTGTTGCTAAGACCTGCGAATAAAGTTTTCCAATATATCCCTTAGTTATCCGTAATTCCTCACTGGCCGAGGGGGTCCTCAGGGCTCTCATTAACGTAACCTTACTGACGAGCCCTGTCGCTGTCAATATTGTTCGTCATCATCGCACTCGACTTCAACGAGCCCTCCCATACTTTTATTGCTATAATCTTGCTGGGGATTTCTTCAACTTGCCTAGGAGTTTTCTACGACTTAGGGCATTCTGCGTACCTGTTGAGAACGCCACATCGTTTGCGTCACTGGTCCTTTTGGGTATTTCGCATGGGTCTGCGCTAGAAACGGTGTTAGTCGTTTTTTATCACAGCGACTAAAACGTGTACCTCCAACAGTTTCCTGGTGCCAGTTACCCCCCCCCCCTATGCACTTTTCTGCAAGACGACCTGATTACAATTAGTACATGAATTTGCAGACGAGCAGTTATATTGAGCTCTCAGGGTTATCAGTTCTTTATATGGCCTGGATCCAAAACTGAAAATGCGCATGGACACAGCCGTAGACTACACAGTCATACCAGCTGAATCATCTTCGGACCTAGGAGTTTTAAAATCTTTAATACAACTAAAAAAATTGCCCACGATCTGCGAGGACGTGCAAATAGCCTTTATTTATAGAGGCATCAAAAACACTTTCTATCAGCACTTCAACATCGTAGAGGGTTTTTTGGCCACATCTCGGCTGCTTGTCTTCAGCCCGCTGTGCCGTACAAAGAAGGTAATATTTCTTAAATGTGGTTCTTCCTCCTTGTCAAACTGAATCTCTTAGGAGACCTGCACAAGTTCTACCCGCGCGTCAACACTGACAATACAGACGGACGTTTCACAGTGCTGCACCAACTAGCGAGGAAGCACGTTTAGACCACACTTGCATGCTATTTGAAGGTGTCAATTATGCACAGAACTCGAGTTGATTAGCCAGAGTTTAAGCTTGCTTAGGCTTAGATTTTTCTCTCGCATTGCGTGCGTGGCCTAGTGCTGCTGATACTTATACGCAGTAGCCTCCTGCTGGGTAAAACCCTTTTGTTTTTTTTTCGGTTTTCTATCCAAATTAGTGACATGCGTGACTATCAGCATACTTTCTGCTGCCGACTCAATGCCTTTGGCTTTCTGGAAGATATTCAATAAGGAGTGCTACCACTTTAGTAAATTTTCGGTAGAAACAAGTTTTCTCGAAACTTTAATTTGTCTTGCCCCCCTCGATCCTGACGCCGGTTTCCTTGTCGTCTGTTAAATGCTGCAGTGTTATTACCCGTATTAATTTAAACTGCATGTGCATACACTGGGCGTACTTTATATCAGCCGTATTCTCTTGTCAGCATCGCTTTGCTAGCATCTTCGAGGCCTTGTTACCCATAGAACATTCGATGCTGCACTAGCTGGTCTTCGTTTTCAAAAGTGAGGTCTAGAAAGTGGAGAATCGACAGTCTACACTGTTTGAGCTGCAATCCCGCTTCAGCGGTAGTCATCCCCTCATGCCTCGACCTCTTTGATATTGTTGCCTGCCTTTGCTGCTTCTCGATTATCCCAGTTTGTTGATTTATATTGTTTTTTTTGTATTACAGGAGGCTTTGCCTGTTCTTCGTTCGACAGCATACGCAATATCAACCAAACTTATATCTTCTCGCGGACGCTGCTTGTCGAAATTTGCTTCCACTGTCTCCAAGATGACAGAAATGACTGTTAGAGAAGGTTCCGCTGAAGTAAAACTCCCCAACGGCGTTTTCTATAACCCGGTGCAGGAGTTTAACAGGGACATCACTATAGCTGTTATTAGAAATTACTTAAAGTTGCATTTATGTGAATTTATTGACAAGGGAATGAAGATCGCCGCCTCTAAAAGTGCGTCACCCGAACCCACCACCTACGTTGGCATATCTATCTTGGAGGCCTTGGCGGCGTCTGGTCTGCGATCTGTAAGATTTGCGAACGAGATTCCATTGGTGTGCAGAATAACAGCAAACGACTTGGATCCAGAAGCCACAAAATTGATTTCCGAGAACGCTGAACGAAACCGGGTTTCTGCCCTAGTCAAACCAACTTGTTCCGATGCGGTTTCCCTCATGTTGAACAGTACTTCATATGCTGACCGGTAAGCCTAAATGTCGTTAATTTTGTCTTCGTTCTTACTACATTGACTTGTTCAGTGTATACTTATGTCTCGTTAAATCATATCAAAAGGCGACAGTTGCGACCACGCTTGATTCTCCAACGTAGCCGCGGTTTCTCAGTCTGTCTAATTCGTTTTATTGTAACGCTTTTTTCAGTTTATGCTTTCAAACGTTCTAACTGTAGTGTCTTTCTTCGTCTTTGATGTCAGGTTCAACGTAGTTGATATTGATCCGTATGGCACAGCTAGTCCATTTCTTGACTCCGCTGTTCAGTGCCTCTACGACGGTGGCCTTCTCTGCGTAACCTGCACTGACATGGCTGTCCTTTGCGGAGCAACACCAGGAACGGCCTATGGGAAATACGGCGGCGTTGCCATCAAAATGACGGCACAGCACGAGCAGGTAAAACGCCTCGAAAAGTCAAGCTGGCATATTTTCCAGGAAACGACGACTAATCATCACGAGATATTCCTACAGAGTATCTCATTTTCTACTTCATCGTCAGACTACTGTTGGGCAAACCTTGGATAGGACATTTTGACGGTTTGGCGGCCGTTGTTGGGTGCCGTACATACGCCGAATTTTCAGAGTGTGGCCTAATGTTAGCCGAACTTATCAGTACCAGGTGCGTCCGCTTGTGATAGAAAAGGAACTTGTCTTCAATGAGGGCTTGTTGTGAAAAAAGGAGGCTCTCAGATTTTCTGAACAAGCAGAGACCAGCAGCGATAGTAATGGAGGCGAAATTCGACTTCCAGTTATGTGAGCACCGGAGCCGTTTGTTTTTTTCTGAGCTTTCTAACTCGCGCAGGGGTGCGTCGTCAGAGACGACGGCGGCAACAGAATCAGCAGCAGCTATAGGGAGTATTAGCCAATCAACGATCGGTGCCGCACTGCATCAGAGTGCTCTCCGGGATTTAATCGATCGTTTATTTTTCATGGCTCTGCTGCATATGGTAGCTCTGGGTCGGTGTGCAACTCCAGGGCTTAGTACTGCGGCAGTGCGCTCGGTCGCCCCTGAAAAGATCTCAATGTGTGACATAGCACGCCGTACTCTCGGTGGTGCCTCTGTTTTGGTCCTCCGTGGGCGAACACGTGTGCATTGGTTTATAAACGCCCTTAAAAAGCCTTTCCGCATCAATTGGCCACAGAGATCCCGGGCCTCATGTTTTTTCCCCCTGGGTTGGTGTAGCGAACCCGAGCCCGTTTGATAAGTTTTGTTTTTGAGCCACTAGATGATTGCTGTGAAAACTAAGAAGTTGTGTGGCGCCCATTGTTTTCCAATGAAATACAGTCTTGATTACGTTGTTAGGACTTCAAGGAGAGACGGCCGCCGCGATAGTAACATCAATCCGCAAACGGCTGACGTCCGTTAGACCTGCTACTTACGAAATACCACAAAACTTGACAACACCGTGACGCGGTAGTCGTAAGCTACGACTAAACAGGTTTTTTTGTCTCAGCTGACTTTGTAGTGAGTTTCCTAAACTACGGCTCTAGAGGGCGTAATCTCCTGCCTACACGCAAAATTCCCAACCAGGGAGCGGAAACGGACTGCTGATCGCCTCCTCGAAACAGGAGAGTCATGCATTACTTGCGAGTAGTAGTAGTAGTGGCAGTAGTGACAGTTAGACCATCGGTTTCGATGATGCCCACCGTGGCAGTAGTAGTAGTAGCATCAGCAGCAGCAGTGCCAGTACCAGTAATATAGTCCCGAAGGCAGAACAGAACGAGTATGTCCCGTAGCGCGGTCAGTGGTTGTCGCACTGCCATCGTTTATTTTATCTGCGGGCCTCGTTAATTTCAATCGTCACTTACTTGCTTATCAACTTCGCGAAACCATCGTTTTATCAAATCGTTCGCTCTCGCCGACCTTATATTTAAGTTTGTCCAGCTCGCTTACTTACTATATATCGGTAGCACTTTTACTGAAATGCATATCAATTCCCTCTTTGCTACCCCATCTCGTTCTTATTGGTTGGTGATACTGTACACTCCGGTATTCGCTGGGCTTTGGGACTACGGCTCCCTCCAGTAGCTGACATCCGAATGTACCTGAAAACCACGCAAAAACGCTTATAACTACCTACTTTAATATCCAAACACCATATATTCCTTAAATTATCATCCGAAGACACTAATATTACATATTTCAAAATCATCTTACAGCATTGCCCTTAAAAAATTAATGGCTTATAAGCTGATCGTGCACACACCTACAATTACTTCTCCTACCAAGTCGAAAACTTATCAAGTTACCCCTATATGCGGGCACGCACATGTATGCAGTATTCAGGTCTTACCGTTTTCTTATAACGTATACAGTATATAAGAGTGATATTGACACTTTCACAAGTACAGGGAATAGCTAAGTGCTGTGCCTAAATATTTAAATATGCATCAGCAAATATCCGAAGTTGTGAGAAGTTTAACGTCGCGTAGATGATATGGATACCCACCATATCATAAAAATGTATTTAGTTACGAAAAAGAAATTCAAACAACTAGCAAATATTTTACAGTAAGTGTGCTAACTCATGAAATGTCACGAGTTAGCAGAAGAAAATACCTATAACGCAAAATGCGCCCAACTTGCGTTCCCAAAAGTCTTACGACATTAAAAAAACGACTCTTCTTAGGAAGAAGGCATAGTTGGGCTTGTGAATTAATATGTAACGTAAAAATAATTGCTTTTCACTGAAAAGTGGAATTTCAGAAAATGGCTATAGTAAGCTTAAATAGGGCTAACTATAAGGAGGCATAATGAAGGGGGACGCATTAAATGGGGAAAATAAAAAAAAAATAATAACAAATACAAAAAATCAGTACTTTGTTGATCGTCCATTTGCGTTTATCACAACAGAAAGTCTTTCAGACATGGAGACGGTCAGGTTGTCTATAATGGATTGTTCAATGTGATTGCCTAGCACAAAGTCAAGTGTTTCATGCATTTATAGTTTCTTATTCGCCTAATGCCAATATCTTTTGATAATTACGAAAAGATTTTCGATGGGATTAAGATCCAGGCTGTTGGCAGGGATGAAAATCGACTGCAGGCCACATGCCGAGAGGCTAGTTGTTGTCTACAAAGTCAGATTACGTTTGAAAGCGTTATTAGATTCATACGTCTTCAGAAAGATAGATAGGAGCATTGTCGTGTAAAACTATTGTATCGGGTCGACGTCGGTGGATGTCGTTGTAATCGAAAACATCCTTCACAATTTTGACGAACACCTTGCTGTTGATGGTGTCCGTAGTCGACCGCCAGACTGTCCGCTTTCCGAATTTAACAGCCATTCGAACCATTGACTGTCGACAGTTCTTGAAGGTTGTTATCGGCACAGTGTGCTCTTTTGGCAAGTTTGTTTTCGCAAATAACCATCCAAGTCGACTTTATTGGCATGTCTAAAAATAAGACCTCATCGCAGACGTAACTTCTCTTCCAGAATGAGGGCCGGTAATCAGTATATTTCTTAGCAAATAAAAAACGTTCTCTAATACGTTTTCTACTTTAAAACGGCTTGATCATGGCCTTTTGTTGATGAAGTCAAAATTCCCGCATCCTTTTCCTAATTATGTTCATAGAGAACATCGACAGATTTTTTCTGTGAACGGTCTTAATGGGCATATAATGATACTTTTTTGTGTACGACGAATAAAATCGTTGTCTAACCTTACTGACATTAAAAATGCTTGCTAGCGACTCACGCCCCAACCCTTCCGCGGCTAATTTCCGTATCCTTTCATAGTCGACTGCTGAAAGACATTGTCTGGACATCTTTACCGCACTGCGTGACACAGAAAAGTGGCAGTATGCCGCGCGTACTTAATAAATATCTGCTTGAGCCTAGTAGTTCTCGGTACGGTTAAACAAGCTACTGTTGGACAAGTTTATTATTGATTTTTATGACACGAAACGCCATAAGTTTAAAAAAAATTTATAAGCAGATGTTGTCCCTTCTTGAAAAGAATGCAAGGCATCAAACCCACCCCCACCTGATTTTCATGGGAGGAAAGTCGAATTTTCCGTTTCCAGACGGAATTTATTGCGTACTTTTCCTGTTTTTAATAATCTTCGCTTGCAGCACAATGCGCCTAAACATGAAGTTTTGATCAGCAAATTTCCATAGCATAGAAAATTATCTGGATATCAAGAAATGTCAGATTTCGTCCCAATCTGACCTGTTTCCCTTTAATAAAACTGACTTGAAGTGAACCGCCTTTCAGTAAATGGCATTTTGTGTCTCAAATCATTTTAATAAACAATAACAACACCAAATGCATGACATACTTCCCGCCAAAATTTCGACCACGACATTTCGTGAGTTAGACCATCTACTCAACGAAAAAGGAAATCTACGAATAAATGAATCTACAAGCAGGCTGGAGTTAGCTGTACCTGTAACCGAATTTCTATCTAACTCGTGTATCTCCTTTCGTGTTTTCTTTCTTTTACGCCACACTCAGGGCCTACGTCTGCTCCTGCATGCCATTCAGCAGGCCGCAAGTCGACACGGAAAGGTCATTGAGCCCCTTCTTTCGCTTTCCATCGATTTCTATGCTCGCATTTTTGTGCGAGTATGGACCAGTCCCGGACGTGTAAAACGTGTTGCTTCAAAAATGGCCCTCGTCTATTCCTGTACTGGATGCCATGTAAGTGCCCACAGTAATATTAACGAGCGCTCCCAAGACGCATAAATCTCTTCAAACGCCATTTTTTTTACCAGCCGCATCTAGACTTACCTTTCCTCTCCCCTCTTAAAAGCAGCCCGTAAGTCACCGGGTTTTTGGGACCGTTAAAACAACAAAATGTCCCGATTGCGACTACCTCTAATAGGCATGTCACATTCCTGAATAGTTTTTAAAGGTAAACACCCAGAATCTGATTAGTCGCTCTTAC